CCAACTCTCCCTCGTGGGCAGGGTCATCTCACAGAACGGCCCCAAGCCATAGAAAGACTCATCCTTGGAGGCACCATGAGATCAGTGGGGTTCAGGGGGAACAGTGGGGTTCAGCATCACCCAAAGAAGAGGAGAGAGAAAGGGAGATGATCCAGAACTCCAAGGGTCTAGCCAGAGACAGAGTGATCCCAGCCCAGGCATGTTCCCACCTACAAGACCCTGTGGTTCTCAGGGCTCAGGGACATCCCCATGAGGGACTGGCTGGTGTACACCCTGGAGCTGGGGGCCACACTTAGCCTTTTCTCCCCCAAAGCACATCAGATTCTGTGTTTCCCCCAACCTGCTGGGTGACCCAGGAAAGTGCAGTTCCTACTGGGACCTCAGGTTGCCCTCTGTATGATGACAGGCTGGGCAGGTTGTCCCCACTCACCAAGCCTTGGGCCCAGGCGAGGAGAGTGGATGTTTTCTTATTTGCCCATTTAAGGACCAGGCCAGTCCCTGAAGAAGGACATCATGTTTGTAAAGTAGTTTTTGTTTTTATTGTTGCTCTGTACTGTTGAGTTGGAGCCAACCCATAGCCCACCCTCCAGCTGGTTTTCAGAGGCAGTAAATAGTATAGGGAGCTCTGGTGGCCTAGTGGTAAGGAGTTGCGTTGTTGTTGTTGTTGATTGCCATCAAGTCAAGCACGACTCATAGTAACCCTATGAACAAAAGACCTGAAGCCTTTCTATAACAATTGTCATTTCTCAAAGTTCACAGAGTTTCCAGAGGCATGTTGTTTAAGAAGTGGATGCCATTCCTGTTTCCAAACCTGTCTTAAACTGAGAGTTCCACCAAACACTGCCCACCATGGGTAACCATTATGGCATTTGACACCCCAATGGCACAAGGTTCAGCATCACAGCAACCCCAGCTTACCTCGGTAGAGCAAATTGAAAGAAGAGTGCTGTGCCTCTTAGAGGAATGTTCCTCCAGGGGAGCTCTGGTGGCCTAATGGCAAGAAGCTACACTGCAATCCCAGAGGTGCATGGTTCGAATCCACCAGATGCTCTGCTGGGGAAGGAGGGACAATCTCCTCCTGTACCAGTCAGATCTGATTTGACGGTACACGCACACACACAAATAATAAAATAAAAATAAAAAAAATAAAGAAGAAGAATGTTCCTCCAAAATATTATAACAACCAACTCTTAAATACAAAGACCCTTCACAAGGTCTTGTTGATGCTAAACAAGAGGCTTAAAAAAAGAAAAAATATGGAACGCTTCACGAATTTGCATGTCATCCTTGCACAGAGGCCATGCTAATCTTCTCTGTATCGTTCAAATCTTAGTATATATGCTGCCAAAGCAAACACAAGGTTGCATTAGCAGCCTAAAAGTATGCAGTTCAAATCCACCAGCTGCTCCAAGGAAGGGGGATGGGCACTCTCCTCCTATGCAATTAACTGCCTCTGAAAACCTGCTGGAGGGTCCGTTATGGGTCCATTCCAACTCGATGGCACACACCACCACCACCAACAAATAATAATAATATGGGAGGAAATTGACCGTCTACCTCCTGCAGAGTAGCTGGTAGATTTGAACCATGTACCTTTGCATTGGCAGCACACGTTCTTACCACTAAGACTCTTCCTTTGTCCAGGTGCCCCCGTCAGGGGCCACGTCCTGGACTTCTTGGTCCAGTCTTATCAATATTCTGGAGACAGATGGCGCTATTCACACACAGCTGAAAGGGGACATAACTCCTAGTCATAGATGACAGGAATGACGAGAGGTTGAGAGAGGGCATCAGAAAGGCTTTGGTTTGATAATTCTGCTGCACTGAAAGACGCTTCCCCACCCGCCTCCACTTAACATGTTGTTATTGTTGTTGTTGTTGCTGTCAAGTTGAGCACGACTCATAGTGACCCTATAAACAGAAGACTTAATGCCTTTCCATAACTATCATCGTTTCTCCAAGTTCATACAGTTTCCAGAGGTGTATGGTTTAGGAAGTGGATGCAACTCCTGCTTCCAAAATTGTTTTACAACCAGGAGCTCCACCAAACACTGTCCGCATTGGGAAACCATTCTGGCATTTGATACCCCAATGGTACAAGGTTCAGCAGCACAGCAAACCTAGGTTAATTCATGCTGCACATCAATAAAGAGTGATGTACAAAGTAGAAGAATGTTCCTCTAGATATAACAGCACTAGTTTCATTTAGCAGTGGTTAAGTGTTGTTGTTGTTATGTGCCATCGAGTCATTTGAGACTCATAGCGACCCTACGTACAACAGCCCTAAACTCGGCTCTGTCCTGTGCCAATCGCACTGTCTCCGATATACTCATTCCGATTACCCCAGTCACTGAATCAATCCACCTCATAGAGGGCCATCCCCTCCTGTGCCGTCCCTCCACCCTCCCAAGCATGATGTCCTTCTCCAAGGACCGGCCTCTCCTCACAACATGTCCAAAGTATGTTAGACGGAGCCTCGGAATCCTTGCCTCCAAGGAGCCACCCGGTTTAACCCTTTCCAGGATGAATCTGTTTTCCTAGCAGTCCATGGTATTCTCAATACTCTTCTCCAGCACTACAGCTCAAAGGCATCAACTCTCCTATCCTCCTTAGTCAATGCCCAACTCTGATGCATAACAAGTGATTGCAAAGACCATGGCTTGTATCAGACACACCTTAGTCTCCAGAGAGACACTATTGCTCTTCAGTACTTTGGAGAGGTCCCTAACAGCAGACTCTCCCATGGCAATGTGGTGAAGTGTAGTCAAGTCAAATACGACCGAGAGTAAGCTTTGCACAAAAGCCCTGAACTCTGTTCTATAACTAGCATCACTTCTGTACATTTACAGAGTTTGTAGAGTTTCCAGAGGCATCTAATTTAGAAAGTGGATGCCACTCCTGCTTCCCACCATAAATCAATCTGGAAGCTCATCCAAACATTGTACATCACGGGTAACCATTGTGGTATTTGACAAGACTATGGAACAGTGTGCAGCATCACAGCAACACCAAGTTGTTCAGCAAATAGACAAAAGTTTGCTGTATCACTTAAGGAATATTCACTCGAAAATGAATAAATTTGGCCCGAGGGCCCTGCAGGGTTTCAGTGCCACATCTTTGAGCAGACCTCTACCCTAGGCAAAGGCTCAGGGACACCAGCTCTTGGGGGCGGGGGGGCGGGGGAAGAGCAGTAATACACATCAAACAGTACCTCGAAAACTTCCCTTACGTGCCCATCAGAACTGCCATCAAGACCCAAGCAAGCAGCCAAACTCCCAGAAGTGGAGGCTCCAGGCCCTGGCCTGCAGTCCCATCCTCCCCCTTCGGAGTTTTAAATCCACAGCTTTGAGCAGACCACACCTGCTCTTGAGGGGCAAAGAGCAATAATACACATCCAACACGACCCCCAAAACTTCCCTTATGTGCCCATCAGGACTACCATCAAGATGCAAGCCCCACTTAAGATAGGGTGAAAAAGTTATTCTTCCACTGTTGTTACATAAGTTTTCAGAGGCATTAAACTGCACAGGAGGGTCTTGTCTGTCTTTCTTCCATGGAACAGCTGGTGGCTTTGAGTTGGGAGTAGAAAGCCTTACCCCCAGGTCACCAGATTTCTCTAGTCTTACATTGTTCTTGTGTACTGTCAAGTGTGAACTGACCCTCCAGTGCGTTTTCAGAGGCAGTTTAATCTTGTCCATTCTTTTCCCCACGTAGCAGCTGGTGGGTTCAAACTGCATACCTTTGGGTTTACAGCACAGCTTACCACTAAAGCCACCTGGGCTATCATTATCTCCATTAGTTATCAGAGTCTTTCTGCCTAAAGTACTAAAGGTGTTATTTTATTGTCGGTTGCATGTATGTGTGTGTGGGGTGTTTTTATGTGTGCGTCTCTTTGTGTGGTAGGTTTAGGGCTTTGGAGATCAGGAAATGGGCTCAGGTGCTGGTGGGTGGAGGGTGGGGAGACTGGACAGCGCGCCCTGGCTGGCAGGCCCAGTCCCATGCTGCTGGCTGTACCAGCACAGTTCTTGTCTCTACGTGTTTATTTCTCTGCTGGCTGCCCTCCAGGTCCAGCCAGGCCCCTGCGGGCTGGCACCTGCTCTGCTAGTGCACACCCAGCCACACGTGGGCATCACCACGGAGTGCAGCAGGGAGCAGGGACAGGGAGAAGCTGGGAGGGGTGTACAGGGGTGTGGGTGTCTACTTTTCTCAGGGACCCTGGGAAAGTTGGGCTCTGGGCTTCATGAGGAATGTGGGAGTGTCTTCTCACAAAGGTTTGTGTGGGCAGAGGCAATATTGGGTCACAGACACTCGGAGCTGGAGAAGAGGATTCTGAAAGCCCCAGCTTGCTAGGGGATTCTGAAAGCCCCAGCTTGCTTTCTGTCTCAGGCCCCTCAAAACCTATCTTGGGTCATGATATCTGGTGGCAGAGAAAAGAGTCCACTACCCCTTCAGCAAGTTACCCTGGGGTTGCCACACCGGCAAGGCCACGCCCACCTCTGGTGGACAATGGTGTCCAGGGAACAAGGAGCTCTCAGGATGCTTGCCGGCCCTGCTCCTGCTTCGTCCACCTTCCCTGGACCCAGGCTAGGGGTCTGTGTGCCTGAGTTTGAAAGCCAGCATCAGCTGCCCTCCAGGTTCCTCTGTTCCACCCCTGGCATTTGATGGTTTAATTGCCAGGTTGCAGCATTTCTTAATAGTCATGCGAGGTGATGACAGGGCACAGCCATTGTACACATACATTGTATTCCCAGCGCCTGAGTTGGGCGTGGCTCCTCCAGCAAATCTGATGAATGTGTGATTGCCTATTAGCCTATTAGCCCTCCCCACCCCCCTCAAACTTCTACAAGCACTGAGTCTGAGGCAAAGCCAGGCAGTTGCTTCCAACTTTATTTGAGAAAAACTGAAGGTAACCGTATCAAAAGAGCATTCAAGATTAGGGGGCAGGGATGTTCAGTGATGGCGACTGGAGGTCCAGTGTGTGGGCAGCAGCTCTGAGACCTTCACTTGGCTCCAGGCTGCTCGGCCTTGCCAGCTTCTGGGCCTCCGAGCTGGGCCCGGGACTCGAAGGTGACAGGGATGGTGATCTCTGCAGACTGGGTGGCCGGCTTGGGAATGGGGGCCTCCACAGTGAGTGTGCCCTCAGGGGACAGGGAAGAGGACACCAGGGTGGGGTCCACACCAGGGGGCAGCCTGGGTATGCAGAGAGAGAGGAGCAAGAGTTACATGTGGTAGGCACTGCACCTCCCTAGAGGCCCCCCAACTTTCCCCACCCTCCCCTCCTCCACCTCCCACCTCCCCAGGCTGGTGCCAGGACTCACGTGTACTTCCGGGTGAAGCAGCGGGAGATGTAGCCATGCTCGTCCTGTCTCTCTTCGTGCTTGCCTGTGACAAAGAAGGGACAGTCAGGGGCAGTGTCCCACGCTGCCCAGAGGCCTGCACCTGCTCTGGGGCGGCAGGAGGTGGGGGTAGGGGTCAGGGCAGATGCTGATGGACAGAAGGGACTAGGGGGCCAGCTTCTCAGAGACTCTTGGAAAATTCTTTTGGATCTTTGGGCCCTGTGCAGGCGCAGCCTCCCGCAGGGAGCTGGCCAGGGCGGGGAGAGTGCGCAGGGGTGGGCGAGACTCAGGAAGTCCTCATTGTGCTGGGAATGCGGCTGGAAGTTTTTCTTCCTTACATAGAGATTGGAGAGCTGCGCGCCCGCTCCCGGGGAGTTGAATGAGAAACAGACTCAAGCAGCTGCCCAGCTCCTGGTCCTTGGCTGACCTCCAACTTTTGGACCCCACAGTCCCTGTGCCCCCCCTTCCATCCCACTCAACTCTCCCCGGACTGGCGGAAAGCGGGGTCCCCGCCGTCGCCCCACTGACTCTCTCGCCCTGCAGGCTCCCAGGCCACTCACCCGTGATCTCCACCACGCCCTCCTTGGTCTTGACGGTCAGCTCCTCGGGGGCAAAGTGGTTGACGTCCAGGGACACGCGCCAGCGGTCGGGGGTCTGGCGGATCTCGGAGATGCCACTGCTGAGCTGCCGGCTGAGCGCGCGGCTGTAGGCGGGCGCGGCCACGGCCACGGACGCGGGGCCCTCCACCGCGGCCCCGGGCAGCGGCCGCACGTAGCCGGGCCAGCCGCTGTGGCCGAACCACTGCGCCCACTCCTCGGGCAGCCGGGGCATCCCGAAGGCCTGGTCGAAGAGGCGGCTGTGGGCGGGGTACCAGTCGCGGAAGGGGTCCCAGCTGGAGCTGCGCAGGAGAGAGAAGGGCACGCGGCGCTCGGTCATGCTGCTTGGCCAGTGAGTTTGGAGAAGTCCGAGAGGGTTTGGCGAGTGAGTTCGGAGAAGTCCGAGAAGTGTGGGGCGCACGGAGCCGGGCCGGCGCTTTTATGGGGCCCCAGCCGGGTATTTTTAGCAGGCGGTGTCTCAGGTCTCTATTAATGGCAATGACCAGCTGGAGGCTGCCCCTCCCCTTGCATTCCTCCCACGGGGGCGGGGAATGCCCTGGCCTTATCTGGAACCTTCTCTCGTGAAAGAAAACAAACGGGCTGGCGCACCAGTCCTGGCCCTGGGCCCACTGCTGGACACTCCCTGGCCTGAACGCTGGTCCAACCCTTTTGTTAAGGAGGACGAGCTAAGAGAGAGACTGGTTTATACTTTCCCAGAGTGACAGGGCCGGGATTGGAACGTGTGTGTGTGTGTGTGTGTGTGTGTGTGTGTGTGTGTGTGTGTGTGTTTCCGCCCTTCATTGTATCTACTCGTCCCAGCCAGACTCCGTGCCTCAGTTTCCCCAACCTAGAAAGCAGAGGTGATGTCACCATAACGCTTACACCACTGGGGTAGTGGAAGGCTTCAGTGCCCTGGTGCATGTAAAGACTGTAGCCCAGGGCCTGGGACATGATAATTGCTAACACTGTTCTTATGAGTTGTTTGGAAAGGAAAAGAGGGAAAGAGCGTGCAGACATGCCTTTGTTGGCTCCACACCCAGCTCTGTGGCAGATGAGGTAGCAGGGGTGACATCCTCCCTTGCCCTGAGCAGGCTCAGCTCTGAAACCCCCAGATCTGGCGGTCCTGAGAGGGCGGAGAAACTTACTCCCCGATTTCCTTATTGACCACTGGACCGCAAACCTGAAGTTGCACGATCTTGACTCCATTGAGGTTTATCACTGACTTACCTGTGTGATTTGGGGCGGAGCTACTCCTTTCGGTAGCCTCCGTTTCTCTTTTATCATATTATGATCCTGATGTTCCTTTTTTTTGTGCAAATTATGTATGCATAAAGAGCTGGAGCTGGTAGAGAGAGTGTCTCTGGTCACTGCAGATGGTTAAACTTCACAGTCAACCTCAAGGTTGCAGGTTCAGGTCCACCCAGAGGAACCTCAGAAGAAGAGCCTCGTTACCTCCCCTGTGAAAACCCTCAGGAGCATGGCTCTGCTCTGACCCACAGGGGTCGAAGTTGACATGAATGACAATGACGAACGAGGTGGCTGGAGGCCCAAGGATAGCCCCTTGGCCACCCCTCTAGCTGGCCACCCACAGGATCCAGGCCCCACTCAGCTTTCAACTTAGGGAGAGTATGTGGCCCGTTTGTTCTTGCTATAACCCGAACATTCCAGTCTCTCTCCTGTCTGCCTTCTCCCCTCTCAGGGCCTATCGTCATTCTTTAGATGAAGAAAAAGACGTTCACAGACATGAAGTGACTTACCCAGTATCCCTGGTGAAACTCTCTCTCTCAAAACTCATTGCTCTGAGTCAGAACTGACTCATAGTTGACCCTCCACTGGCTTTTCTGAGGCTGTAAATCTAGTGTGAGGAGACTGTCCATCGTCCTCCGGAAGAATGGCTGGGGCACTTGAACCACATTAGGGGTGTGGCTTCTGTGGACTAGGCCACCAGAGTTCCCGCTGAAACACTAGCACAGCTAATCCCTTGCCTCTAAGGACCCAAGCTTCTTACTTCATGGGGCTCCTGACCTTGGGTCCTCCCAGGCCTGCTCTGCTTGCTGCCCTTACGCTGGGGCTGAAGCTCTGTTCCTGCCACTTCTAAAAAGTCCCTCGCACAAGGCCACTTAAGGAGTACCTGAGGGCCTAGAAGCCAGCCCCCCAGCTGCCCATCTTCGTGGACTGGCAGTAGTCAGTTGACAAGATTCATGCCTGCCCCCAAACTAGTTTTCTCTTTGTGGGGACACACAAACATCTCTTTTTCTTATTCACCTGCCCCCTCTCAGGGAAAAAACAGAACTGGGCCTAGAGGTGAAGCTGAGGTCACCTTTGAAAAGCCTGTGGAGCCACTGGGGTCTGGAGGGCCCGGGGTGCAGGCAGGCAGGACTCCTAACCCCTGCTTTTTTCTCATTCCTCTTGTTGGATGGATTTCAGCTGGAAGTTACTAGCTGCCCCCCCCCCCAAGAGTCTCAGCTTGAGGAATCCAGGCCGTCACCCCTTGGCACGCCCTGCCCCACCTAACCCTAGCTCTATAAAGTGAAGGTGAGGTCATCCACCCCTCAGGACCCTGCCTGCTCCCTTCAGCCCCGACTGGAGCCCAGGGCGGCCCGCCCATAGTGCGTGGTCAGGTGTGGGCAGGGTGCTTTCAAGTACAGCCCTGCCAGGCCCAGCCACGCTGGGTGGGGGCGCCCGGCTTTGTTCACACAGCGCCCTTCATCTTGTCTACAACCAGGGTGTGGAGAGTCCGTCCTTGCTGCCTCCGCCGGAGGAAGTTGTGCAACCCACTCCCCCTGCCGCCAGCAGGTCACTCTGGGGGCTGAGGATTCACATCCACCATCGCTGGGTCATCTCTTCTATTCTGATACCATCCAGTCTATCACAGGGCAGGGACATGGACAGCCCTGGGCAGCACGGGGCCGGCTGAGAGGGGGTGGAGGGAGAGAAACTGGGTTTTAGGGTCAGACAGGACTGGGCTTGAATCTGGGCTCTGGTGATCTCTCAGAGCCCACATGTTCCCATCTGAAAAATTAGGTGAGTGGTACACCCACCCTTCAGGGTGGTGGTGAGTCTCCAGTACGGTGATGTGTGAAGGGCGGATGCTTAGCATTTGCTGAGTTCTTGTGGAAGAGAACCCCGCTGTCATCGAGTTGCTTTCAGCTCACTGTGACCCTCCACCGGGTTTCTGAAGCTGTAAATCTTAACTGGAAGAGACTGCCCATGGAGTCGAACCTCTGATCTTTTGGTTAACAGCCCAATGACTTATACACTATGCCACCAGGACTTCTTGTTATTAAGGAAAAAGGGCCTTTTATTTTGGACTTAATAGAGTCATATGCACTTTTATGGTTTCAAAGTATTATATCAGAGTTCCCATTTTTCAGATGAGAACACTGAGGGGCAGCATTACTCCTAGGTGACAGAACTGGTAAGGGTGGGCCAGAACTGGAACTCAAGCCTCGTGACCCCTCATCCCAGGCGGGAGAATTCCCAGGCAGGCCTGGAAGGTGCAGAGGGAGGTTTGCATCTACGTGGGCCTTATTGGGTCAGGCTCTCTGGGGATCCCTTGCAGCCCTGACCAGGCACCCTTCTTTCAGGAAGTCATCCCTCCCCACCTGCCCACTTGTTCTTTGATAGTTTGAGACTTCAGCGTCCTGGGACACTGAGCTGCCAGGACTAGTCTTTCTAGTGGTCCAGGTGACAACTCCACCCCAAGAGGGATTCCGAGGCCACAGGGTGGGTCACAACCCACCCCCTGTCTAGTGCATACTGTCTGGTCTGGGGGCTCTGAGCTGGCTACAAATGTGGTGTGCACTGGCTCAGCTCTCTTGGTCTGGGTCCGAGACCGTGGCCACGCTGGTCATGCCCTTGGCAGGCTTCACTGGCGGTGATGGAGCTAGCCCCTCCCTCTTTGGCTCAGCCACAGAGAAAGCTCCAGAGTCTTCTAGCTCCCGGAGCTCCCCGGAGAGGCATGAGAGCTGCCCACTGCACTAGCCACAGGGCCTTCCAGGAACTGAAAATGCGGGCAATCTTCTGTGGGGGGTGGCAGGCAGGGGATCTTTCTGGAAACTTCTGGATATTACCCCTCTGGGAGTATATTTCTAAAAACTCCACCTCTGGTCTGCCTAGAACTGTGGCTGGTGGCTTATCCAGAAATCATTTGGACTATGGGATGTAAGGGTCCAGGAGGGAGGGCTTGAGATCCATCCTCCAGCCCCTTCTACCTCCACTAGACTCCCACTGTGGAAAAGAAAAAAATAAATCGACCTAGCCTGGGAGTTTGGGTACTGAGATGTCTCTGGCGTGGAGATCTTGGCCCGTGGCTGGCTGCGTGACTCATTTTCTTCATCTGCACAATGAGACCATTGGACTGGATGTTCTGTGAGATTCCTTCCAGAGCCAGGAGTCAACTGTTCCTTCTCAGGGATCCTCCCTACCCCGGCTCCCTGCATACCTGCTCTGCAGGCTAATGCTGCAGGAAGGGTCTGTGCAGTGGTGAGTGGAGGCAGAGGCTGATGGGTGGGGAGGAGGACCCACTCGCCAGGCCTGAGCTGGGGACTGTCCCATTCTTGTTCAAAACCCCTCATAGGCATTGAGCCAGAACCCACCCAGCCCGGGAGCAGAGTGCCAGCTTTCTCTTGAGGAGCCTGGTGGATTCAAATCTCTCCATTAGCAGTGCTCCCCAAGCACTGCGCCACCAGACCTCCTTGGGTTCAGCCTTCCAGGTCAGGGAGTAGGAGGAGACCCTCGTTGAGCCCAAGTGTGATTTGGGGCTACCGTCTCTTAAAATCAGGGTAAGATAAGGAAAATGGGGGTGCAGAAGTGCAGAAGTTCCCTCAAAACCCAAAGAAGAAAAGAGTTCCTGTGCCAAAGTGGATTTGGGGCCTTAGAAAGTGGGCAGATGGCCATGGAGATAAGCAGTCCTGAGGCAAGGGTGTCTCCAGGCCTGGGGTCTCCTGAGAGCCCTCAGGTGGGGGGCCTGGAAAAGAGCAGGGTCCCTCCACTGATAGGTCATTTTTTTGGGATACTGGCCAAGCTGAGAGAGACAGGCAGGAGGCCAGGGGGCTTCCCAGAGCAGGAGGGAATGGTAGTACTGGCTCAGAGCCCGGACACCCAAACTAGGGCCCTGCATTATTCACCTGCATTATTCTTCTAGGTTTAAAGGTACAGGAAAGTGTTAGAAACTGTTAGGGGTACAGGAAAGTGTTAGAAACTGTTAGGAGAAATGGAAAAATACTGCCAGGGAGATGGAACAGGAAAGCCCTGTGCAACCTCCCCAAGGCTGCGTGGATAAGGAGGTGAAGGATGGGGGGTCCTCACTAACCCCCATCTCATGGGCAGACCAGGAAAGAACCTACTACACCCCAGAATTAGAGTAGGCTCAGGGGCAGGCCACATCCCAGGACGGTGCCCCAGTCTCCCTCCCTCTTCCACGGCAGGTAAGCGAGTTTCCTGTTTTTCTACCACAGTAATTTTCCTTTTTCCAACTTTCCCAAGGTAGGGAGCAGGGTTGCTCAGTTAGGACCCCTGGTCTGTGGAAGGGGTCTTTCCCCTAGATGGCTGGGGAGGGCACTGAGGTTAAGGAACTGGCTGGAGGGACTGTCCCCCCAGGGTCCTCTCCACTGACCAACCCTGTTTGTGCCTCATCCTTCGCCGCCTCTCTGTCTCCCTCTAATGTCTTCTGGCTGCCACTGCACCTCACCTTAGGCCCAATCCTGCCCGGAGGATCCTGAACCTTCCCTCCTTCATTTACTCGGCACACACTGCAAAGGTGCCTGTTTTGAGGACGTAGAGACCAACAATATATGGCCAGGTTTCTAGCGTTCACAGCCTTACAAGGAGGGAGATATATCAACAAGCCCGTAATTGGAAGGGAAAGCTCAGAGCCCTAGAAACCAGAGCAGAGCCAGAGCTGACGGAATCTTCATGAAGGAGGGGCAGCTACAGTGCAGATCAGCACGTCCTCCGGGAGGCAGCAGTCCTGAATGAGCTGCCTGAAGCTCTGGGGGAGGACGTTGGGCACAGGCTCAGCTGGACTGGGCTCCAGGGCAGTAATGGGAGGGGAGCTGTTAGGGTCTGTTGTGTTGACTGTGACTATGACTCAGCGATCCCATGAACAAATCTGAACCTTGCCCTGCAAGACCTCATGGTCTGTGATGCACAAGCCATTTGTTGCCGTCATGGTTTCAGTCCATCTGGTTGACAGTCTCCCTCTCTTTCTCTGACCTTCCACCTTTCCCAGCATGATGTCTCTTTTCAAGGACTGGCCCTTCCTGACAACACGGCCAAAGTATGAGATGAAATTTCACCATCTTTGTTTCTAAGGAGCACCTTGGTCACACTTCCTCGAGAACAATATGAGTAGGACCCTGGTGGCTTAACGGTAAGAAGTTGTGCTGCCAACTCAAAGGCACATAGTTCGAATCCTCCAGCTGATCTGTGGCTGAAAGATAGACAATCTCCTGCTTTGCGATTTACAGCCTCTGCAAACCCGCTGGCGGGTCGGCTATGAGTCAGTTCCAACTGACAGTACATGACATGGTGGAGTAGAGGATGTCAAACTCCAACTGGGGTCATTTGAAAGGTCTCAAGGCTAGTGGACATGGCCACAAGACCCAGAGGTCCTCAGAGCCAGGAACTGTGCTTGATACACCGTGTCTCTCTCGTTGCCACTCAGTCAGAATCGACCCTTCACTGGGTTTCTGAGGCTATTCCATTACACGAGGGGGGATTGCCCAACTTTCTCCAGTGGAGCCGCTGGTGGATTTGAACTGCTGGACAGGCATGGCCTTGGAATTAGCAGCACAATCCCCACCACAGTTTCCCTTGGCACATGGTAGCTGTGGGAATCCTAGTGGGGGAGGCTTGTTGGCCCCGGAGCCTGGAGGGAGGATGGGGAGTGGCACAGTCTGGGCAGCCTGGCTGTCAGTTGAGAGGGAGGTGGGTGGCCAGCCAGTGAGAGCTTGGAGTGGAGGGCAGCAGAGAAGTAGGGATGGCATCACAGCTTCTAGTCCCAGGACCGGCGCCTGGCAGAGCATGTCCAATTGTTATGACAGCGTTAGGGTGTGTTCTAAAGTCCGCACTGTCCCCAGAGCAGCACCAAGCCTGCTCTTCCTGTCGCCCCAACCCTTCCCTGAGAACTGGTTTTATGGAAGTGAATTAAGAGTTAAAGGGTTCACCTGCTTTGAACAGCTTCCTCAGATCAGAAATGGGGCCAAGGGTCAGAGGTCACCTCTGTGCCCCTTTCAGTTTGAGAGAAGAGGAACTGGGAGTGGGGAGGCTTCTGTGCTGACACAGCCTCAGGCTTGAGGACCACGTGGAAGGGACTGGGGACGTGGCCTGTGTCAGGGCTCACGCAGGCCAGGGCCATGGCCACGGCCACATCTGCCACACCCTCAGTAGAATGCATGAAGGCGCTCAACCTGCGAGTCCCCGAGTGAGGTCAGAAACGGAGCACAGGCATTCTTCGAAGAAATGGTCCTCAGCCTTCACCGGGTCCTTCAAGGGTGGCTGACTCAAAGCAAGGTTAGAATCCATCCATCACTGCACTCCATCTTTTTAGTCCCCACACTGGCTGGTGGCTAACCAGGGTCAGGCCTATAGTTCTCCCCTTAACATAACACTTCCCAGCATACTCACTCTACGGTGAGCACTGCCACTTAAATATCATCTCAGTCCTGTTGAGATATTTAAATAGCAGTGCTCAGCTGGCCCAGGATTCACCCAAGTGCTGAGTCCTAATGGCTCTAAATTCATCTCATGAGGGTCCTCCACCTCCTGGGGACCCCATACTGTTGAAGCTAGGCTGGTGGAGTGGGGGCCACGCAGGTGTGCAGTGTTTGGAACGTACTGCCTTCCAGATGAGACGATCTTCATGGGTCCCTGTTTTCCTGTTCACGTTCACTATGGGGAGGTGCTCCCTTGGAGGGAGTATGGGTACCAGGGAAGCTAAGCCCCTCTTGTTCATCAGAAGATAGGACCCCAGGGTACCCCCAAATTCATACAGACTGCTCCCTCCACCTGCCATCCGGGCAGAGTTTTATTAGAGTCCCGCTTGTATCCGCACTGCGGAGAGGAGGAGAGGGAAACAGAACCGAACCCGGATGAGACCCCAGCCCCTCCCCCCACTGGAGCCTAGGCATCTGCCCCTTTGGGCCAAGGAAGACTTTGTGAGATCCCTGAGGGTACCAGGAGGAAGGGGCAGGGGCAGCAGAGGACAACTGGGGGCCACAGCTTCCCAGCTGCTGTGCTGGGCGGAGGTCCAGAACCAACCCTTCCTTCAGGGGGGCTGATCGCCTCCCCGCCGGACTCCGAGGACAAGGCGCTCCCTTGAGCAGACCCTGTGGTGCCCATTATCCTTGCTTGCAACTTTGTGACCATCTGGCTCATGTCCCTGATGTGCTGTCCTCCTCTCAGGTGGAGCAAGGACAATGCTGGCCTGCCCCTTTCCCCTCCCACTTCCTCTCAGTCTGCTTGGTCATCAGATTGCCCGGCTTTCCCCCCCAACCCCCTTCCCAAGCCTGCTCCGTGAGGTCCTCCCCATCTGCCTCTTCTCTCCTCCACCTTCTGACCCGAGCCCTCTTGGACGTCAAAGTCAAGTGCAGCTGTGGTCTGTGTCTCCCACCCCTTGTCCTGCAGAAGGCCTGGCTGGTGTGGTCTTGGCCCAGGGCGTAGGGTGAGAGCTAGGGAGAGTCCAGCTTGGGAAAGTAGGTCCACTCCGTCCCTCAGGATGGGTCTTGGGTCCTATGCTGTCTGGGCATCCCTTGCTTGGGAGCAGAGGGAGGGTTCAGTTTCCAGCCCTCACCTTGGGAGGGTCCTCCCGCAGCCAGCCCCAGATGAAGCAGCTCTCGGGCCTGGATGGTGGTACACCGAGAGGATGCCTCTTTCTGTACCAACCTCTCCATCTGCCCAGTAACAGAGGGGCCTGGCGTCCTGTGGGGTGACAGTGGAGGCTCCCCGGCCTGTGCCTGCAGAGCTGAGGGGAAGTGACCCAGCACATCGAGGACACATGCCCTTCCCCACAGTGCCCAGCCTGGTGAGCTGGCATCAAGCAGAAAGAGGGGCAAGGCAATCCCCATGTTCACTCGGCTCTTTGTTCCCTGAACCCAGGGGGTGGGTAGGAGGTGGGGGGCACACTGTAGAAGCACCAGAATCTGGCTCCTCCGTGTCTACAGGGGGTCCACCCTCAAGGCCTTCCTTGGTCCCATCTGCCCACGTGCTGGCCCCGGGCCTTCTGAGTAGTGTGAATGTAACCTCCCCCAGGGTCTTGGAGCCTGGCACAGGGGGCACCAAGCTGAGTCCCTCTGGGCTCAGAAGCCCCCACTCTCTGAGCTGCTCCGGCTGTGGTAGCTGGGGCTGGGGGTCCGGGAGGGGCTGCGGCTGCGGCTGCGAGTCCCACGGCTCCGGCTGCTGTAGCTTCCGTGGCTGTGGCTCCGGCTGGAGTAGTCACTGCTCAGGCAGCTGGAGGAGGAGGAGGGGCTGGGCCGGTAGTACGGGATCGGGCGCTTGCGGGCACTGCCAGGAGGGAAAAGTGCATTGACAGGGCGTCCAGGGCCACAAAGGCCAGGAGACCCATCCCTGCAGTGGCCAGAGTTCCCCTGCCTCAGTTTCCCCCAAATCCTGGACTGAGAGCCCCTTGAGAGGATGCAGCAACCATTGAGTGGTTGCCAAATCCATGCTGTTCATTTCAAATGTCTGCATGCCACAGGGGAGGTGCTCAAGGAATACTTTTCAACGATACCATTAAAACATGGCCAATGCCGGGCAACCAAGCAGAGCAGTGGATTCTTTGCATGGAAATGTTTGTGACTACGCCCGGAGGTCTGGTGGAACCCTCTTCTGCCTCGGCGCCCTCCTCCCCCAGGGCCCTCGGTCACTGAGCCAGTCACACACTCTGCTGTGGCTCCTCAGAGAGTGTCCCCGTTTCTCATGAGATCAAGTCATTGGTTGTCCAGGCCTCTGGATGGAAACAAGGAGGAAACACCTGGCCACTGCTGCCCGAGACCAAGGCCCAGCCCAGCCTGTTGGCCCTCACTCTTCAGTCCACTACCTCCCTCTAGCCCAGAGTTAGTTTGAAGCCAGGAGGCTGTGACCCAGAAAAAGAGAGAGACTGGTTAGGGGGGCAGCCATGCCCCATCACGTGGAGTTAATTCTGAGGAAGAAAAGAGGTAATGGTTAGTGGGAGGAGGAGGCAGCCTGGGAGAGGCCGAGAGGGGCACCAGGTGGAAGGCGTGGGGTCCTGACCATCTTGGGACCTCCAGGCCAGGGCCAGGGGTGTGGTTGGTCTTGAGGGAGTGGAGGCAATGTCCTCTCTTTCTTAGTGGTCTCCAGCAGGAGAACTAAGGAGGAGGACTTGGCTATTATCATGTCAGAGCTGAAAGGATGTCTGTGGATGCCTCAGGTCCCGGCAGAGCAGCTCAGATCATGGCATCTGCCACACCAATGCATCCTGGACACAGCCCTACTCAAGCCAGTGGGGAAGAGGAGGAATGTTTTCTCTGGCATCTGACACCACCACTACCACCACCAGAGGCCCGGCTGCTGTGCCCCCTCCTCCAGTTCTTGGGGGGCTAGTGGAACAGTGATGTTAGTGAGAGAAAGGAGAGCAGTTAAAGAGATAGCTGAACAGAGCCAGGTCAGCTCACATGGGCATCTCCCTGAGGCCTGTGGAGAGGGGGTCCAGATGGCCCCCAGGCTGGCCACAGGCCACTCAGCACGCTGGACCTTGAGATGAAGGAGAAAAGGAGACGTCATTGCTCGCAGGGAAAAAGAGGGGCTCGAGATCAGCTGGCTGGAATCTTCCAGAGTTGGACTCAAGTCTGCAGTACCTCACCAGACAGGAGCCCAGTGGCCTCCAGGTGCCTTCAGGCCCTCACTGGGCCCCTTCCCTTCGGAGGGCTCTTTCCCAGAGTCCACAGGGAGCTCTGGTGGCCTAGGGGTGAAAAGCTGCCCTGCCAACCCTCGGGCTAGAGGTTCAAATTTATCAGTTGTACTTATGTGTTTGTGGAAGATGGACTCCACCCACAGGATTTACTGCAGGGTGTGTGTGTGTGTGTGTGTGTGTGTGTGTGTAAGATGGCAACTCCTCCCGTGTGATTTACCGCCTCTGAAATCCCGCTGGAGTGTCAGCGATGGGTGGGTTTGGATTCCGCGGCCCACAACACCAACAGCTTCCCCCACCCCCCGCCCCTCCTTGGACACCTGAGTGAGCCCTGCAGCCACGTGGGCTTCTGCAAACCCTGCCCCTTCTCCTTTACAGCCCCCACCCCTGCGGAAACCCCTCCTCTCCCCTCCTCCTTCCAGTGTCAGGAGGTCCAGGAGGCCTGGCGAAAAGCCCTGCCCCCAGGTCCCCAGGACCCCTGACCGCGGAGCAACACTGGTACCTGGTGATGCGCCGAGGCTCCATGAAGCTGGGCGAGTCCCGGCGCCGCTTGCGGATGGGCGAGTAGCTGCGGGAGCGGCGCCGCGTGCGCGCGGCCTCGGCCTCGGCGTGCCTCGCGCGGCCCTCGGCATCCTTGTCCCTGCGGGCGACCGCGATGGGTGACAGCGATGGGCCACGGGGAGCACCTGCCCGCGCTCCAGGCCTCGCAGGGAGCGGCAGGGCGGGCGCACTTACCGGCCCGGAGCCTTCTTGGGCGACGACGAGCGGGGCGAGCGGCTGGGGCTGCGGGTCCGCTTCTCCGCCGAGCGCGAGCGGGACTTGGAGGGCGAGCGGCTGGAGCTCCACGAGCGGGGGTGGGCGTCAGGGCTGCGCGACGAGCTCTTCCCGTCGGGGCCGCCATGACGGCCGTGCGCGCCCGGGGACGGCGAGGGGCTGGCGGGGCGCGCGCGTGCAGGCCGCTCCTTGGCCCTGGGGGTGGGGCGGCAGTGAGGGGAGGAACCCCAAGGGGGGAGATGGATCAGCTAGGCGGGCTTTGGGAGATTTCCTGGGGTGCGTTGGAGGGTGGGATCGGTGAGGGGCTCTGTGGGGTGAGTAGGGGTCTATGAGGAGAGGAGGGAAGTAAGTGAGGGTCGGTGAGGAAGGGAGAGGGCTCCTCATTGAGGGGGCTCAATAACGAGGGGCAGCTCAGTGGGAGAAGAGAGCAGGGGTGGGAGAGGGACCCTGCAAGGAGAGGGGCGCTGGCGGTGGAGAGAGGGGTCAGTGGGGTCAGGGGGCTTTATGGGGTAGAAGGGTCTTGGAGGGAGGGACTTGGTGGGGCAGAGGGGGCCTGGGAGAGAAGGAGGGTCAACGTGGGAGAGAGGTCATGAAGAGGAGAGATTAGGGGGCACTTGTGGGTCAAGGGGAATCTAGAGGAATAGAAAAGCCTAGGGGGGAGGTCTTGAGGGGCAGAGGGGTCTGGGAGGGGAGGCTTGGGTAGGGATAGAGGAGTCCGGGAGGGGAAGGATTAGGGGAGAGGGGTCAGGGAAGGGAGGTTTTGGGGAAGAGGGGTCAGAGAGGAGAGGGATTGGGTGAGGGGAAAGGGGTTCCGGGAGGCAAAGGGTGCAGCGTGGGACGGAAGGGGTCAGGGCAGGGCGGTTGGGGCAGCAGGCCAACTTTCCAGGCTGGGCTCACTCACCGTTTCCCGTGTCCGCCGTGGCCTCGCTCGGAGCTGGGCTCGGGCCCGGGGCCCGGGACGCCCCCGCCGCCACTGCCGCCTCCCGAGTCGCTGCTGGAAGGGGCCCGGCTGAGCGACCGCGAA